CATTCGGATTGGTTGAGACGTCAGAGAGCATTCAGGATTACGTGAAATCGTGCAAAGCAGAACAATGCCAGTGAAATGATCCGGTAGCTTTATACATCGGACGAATCATAATCAGCACTTAAGTCGAGTACTTTGACGAGGGAAACGACGAGAAGGATTCTGATTCCACCTCAAGTAGTTGGTACCTAAACGTTTTTATTCCAAGAATTACTTCAGGTTATTCGAAACGAAATGCCGCTCGAAAACACTTTAAAATAAGTAGTACCTACTCCTCTGACGTGTTTTTTTATCACGTGAACATTCGTCGTGAAGTATACTTCTATTCAATAATTTTTTTCAATTTAACGTCCAATTACTTTGATTATTATTATTATTATTATTACTATCATCTTTTACAGGTGTTCATAAGTATCGTTTAAAAACATTTCTAAACGTAACTACCCAGAGTGTATATAAAAATAAAATAAAAATCAGATATGTTAGTGATATTTAATAGCCGGAAGAGAAATCACGGTTATTGCAATGATTTCATTTACTATTTTCTGAACGATCAATTTTCGTCATACGTCAACGACCAACGAAAAAACATCGTTCACTCTCTTTTCCGATTCTTTTCCAATTTCTCGTAGAGAACGATGTACCGCAAACGGTACCGAGTACGATAAAGTAGATTATTAAGTTCCTTGGCTTCGTTGCAGGGGATTTTCTGTCGTGTATGTAGTTCTCTTTTTTTTTTTCTTTTCTTTTTTTCTTTTCTTTTTCTTTTTCATTTACTCTTTTCGTTGTACCGTCGTCATTCGTTTTATTCTCTTTTTTCCCCTTTTGGTTTCGAACGAACAATTAAGGTCAGAGAGCGTCAACTCGTCGACGACTAGTCGACGGTGGGCTACGTTATTTGGGTCGCATTGGATCGTTTTTCAACGCGACCGTCTATTTGTTAAACGACTTTTCCAAGAGAAAATCTTATCTCGTTTAACAACGATAAACCCAACCCCTCCAACCCCTAACCTCTCAATCCTCAACCCTCAACCCACGTCCATCGTTCTTTTTTAGTTCGACGATGACGACGACGAGAAGGACAACGACAAGGGACGAGGACGAGGACGAGGACGAGGACAAGGACGAGAAAAACTATCGATCGTTCCCTTTAGTTCTTTCTTTTTATTTTGTTCATCTCTTCTTTTTCTTATTCTTCTTCTTCTTGTCGAACCAACAACATCGGTGTTCTCGTCTCGACCCGCCTCGTTGCTTAAGATTTAAAGTTTAGACTTTAAACCCTTTTTGCAGTTTTATTAACGCCTTAACGACGGTCGACGTGACAATCCGTGTCAGTTGGATATTTTATCAAGGACGACGGATTTAACGTTGGCTTAGCCGCTTTATTTGTTTGTTTGTCTAATAAATTATTTCGATAATAAATTTAATATATTCGACGTGAATAAAGAGAAAAAAGATAACATAGGAAGAAATAATAAAAATATATATTTTTTTTTTTAACGATGCGGTAACGGTATCGCTTATGCAATCAAAAGTCTTTAACAGAACATTCACGAATCGTCAATAAATATATATATATATATATATGATATGATATAAAAGTTCGTAGAAATAAGTTTATCAAATATTTCTTATCTATGTGAAATCTTTGAAAAGTAAGTCATCGCACCTGCGCGATATGAATTATCAACAAATCCTAATCCAAACCTCAACGCTGTGAAACTTACATCAAACAAACTCCGTATAAACTTTTACAAACTGACAAACTGTGATCAGAGTCGATCGAGAGTTTCCTTTTTAAACATCGTGAAAGTAGAACGGTTTCTCTCCGATGAAAATAAGAAATAAGATTAAAAAAAAATTAATAATAAATAACGTAGGAAAAAAAAAAAAAAGAAAAAACAAGAAAATATTATTTTAACGATGCATAACGATATCACGTTTTATTCAATAGAAAATCTCGATGAGATTGCATTCATACGAATCGTCAATAAAATATACATACATATGTACGTTTAAAATCCGTGTAAGGGACACCATGCTTAACATCCCTGCAATCTCTGCGAAGAGTTTTGCTAGCTAGCGAGTGATGACTCGGTATAGAACATTATACCCCACCTATAGTCCTAGCTTGCTAGCTAGGTCCGTACACGTAAAGAGAGAGAGAGAGAGAGAGAGAGACTAGACTCTCGCACGTGTATTAATCTGCATAAACTCATTCCTATGCAAACGAGGAGGATTCGACGACGTCGAACTAGGATACCGAACGGGTAGAAACTCGCGGGGGCTTACATCGCGGCTTAGAAGCATGCTGAGGCTTATATACATATAGATATGGCTTGTATACCGCGAGATACCGATCGTAAATGAAACCACACCGACACCAACAACCCCTTTACACATTTCTATCTCTTTCTCTCTCTCTCTCTCTCTCTCTCTCTCTCTCTATCTCTCTCACTTGCTTATTCATTCACATATTCACTCACTCACCCAGTCACCCACTCACTCACTCACACTTTCGTTCTTTCCTTTCCTTTCCTTTCTTCATACCTTCTTCGTCTTCTTCGTGTTGCCGTAGACGGAATAATAATTGCCAAGTCCTTGTCCTACGGCATATTCGAGGTGACGATGATCATCCGAGGAATTAAAAAGAAGAAAAATAAAATCAGTGAGACAGTGACACCTGTCTAAAGGAGATTAAGATCTTTCTCTTATCGTGAATATTAAATTTATGGGAAAAATATTTTTTTCTTTTGATTTTTTTTTTCTTCTTGTTACACCATCCTTATTTTTAGCACGAATCTTCACCAAAGAATCTTATTTAAACGTTAAGATAATCTTTTATTTTCCTATGACCGATTCGTACGATCGATCATCCATTCCCCTACACCCCCGTACCCCTACTTTGTCTTTAGACCCTGTTTCGAGAACACACAAAGATAGAACCACTCTAACGTTCCTCACAATCTTTCCAAGCTAAGCTCGGTCTTCCTTCGTATTTCCGATATCGTGCAAGGAAATAGTCGACCGACCGATATAGAATGAAGAATAAAAGAGATAGGAAAAATAGACGATATATGAGAAACAACAAGAACAACAAAGACATTCTGATTTTCGATATTTTTCATCTCGAGAACTGAAAATCTATGATGGATAATACGCTCAGGGGTTTTGATTTTACACTAGCTCGAGTACTATAAGTTCACTTCTACTCGTATTCTATGTATGTTTAATGCGAGCAACCATCAAGCTCTACGACCAAGAAACTTCGTACTAGCATTTGTTTATAACTTATTCAAGACTGGTGCAATTACCGGTGTGTGTAGTTCATCGACGTATAGACACGAAAATCGCACCTTCCTTACTCGCTGCCAACGCCTGTATCAACAACCACCTCTGTGCTTTTTTTTCTTCTTTTTTTTTTTTTTTCTTTTTTTTTGATTTCATTCAACACGTATCTAAGCTTCTTTTTTTTATTATTTTATTTTTTTCTTTCTTTCTTTCTTTCTTTCTACGTCTGACGTGTACTAGGGATGACTTCGATGCAAGTTTAGATGCTATAGAAAAATGAGAGAAAAGAATAGAAAAAAAAAAGAAAGATCTTTCGAAAAGCATTGCGATAGTTACAACTTATCTTCGAAGTAAAAAATATATATATATAAGAGAAGAAAAAAAACAATACAATATAGAAGATAATATATCTGATATGTAGACATTATCATTCTTTCTTATAGTCCAGGAAGTTGAAAGTTTTCGCACTTTAAAAATGTACTCTCTGACGAGGCTGATCCTATGCAACGTTTCGAAAATTATAACTTTCAGTATGATCATTTTTACGATCGATCATAGAAAATTATGCTTTTTATTTTTGTACTTCGTTTAGCTTTCATTCCTCATCGTTTACAATTTACAAAATACATGTGAAAATTATTTTAATTTATTTTATTTTATTTTATTTTATAGAAACTTTATATTTCATGGAATGATATTCAAAACTATGGGTAGAAGTAAAAACTCGATCTCGCGTTTGGCGAATAATAAATAAAATTAATCGTTGAATCTTGTGAAATCTGACAGATTTCAAATTTACTCTGAAGCAATTTGTAACATTTATTACCAATGTATCTTAAAAATGAAAATACTTTAATGGTTAAATAGTTCCAGTTTAATAATTTGTTGCGAAATACGTGACTTGTTGGATGGTAAAATTTGTTACTGTATTTACAATGACTACTAATCATTCGTTCAGGCACGTAAATTGCTTTTTGTTTACCCAACTTATACTCCTGTCACTGACTTTTCTCCTAGTTGTGTTGCTTACTTGAACGAATTCTACGAAAGTTCTATATTGAAAGCGTTAGCGAATTTTAATCTGCTACTCTTCGTTTCTACCCTTCTGTTTTCAAATAAATAATTAATAGTGGCTTCGTAAAGACTAACAGGACCGACCGGCAGATAACGTATTAATGAAACGAATCAGCTACTATATATGTATATACCATTTCATCGTTAAACTAAAATCGAGAGATCAAACGTGTGTACATTCTTGCTTAAGTGTATATAAGTCTCAAGCTTTATTGTAATACTTTTGATATTTTTGTAAATTAAATTTAACCATTTGATAAAATATCACGATGAAAATAGTACATTGTTAAAAAAAAAAAAAAAAAAGAATAATATTAACCAACAAATTGGATCGATGAAAAAAAAAAAATAAAATACGCATCGTACGTTAGTAGAAATAAATTGATGCTTATAATATTTCGATGTAAATATCGTGAAATATAAATGTATATATTATTTCTCAACGCGTAGGGTTGTTATGTTAGAAATGTGATTCACGAGTCTGAAGTATTTAAACAAAACGAGGTTCCTCGTTTTGAGATATCCTTTTATAATATCTCGCGAGACTCGCAAATAAAAATACGCTTACATATATACATACATGCGTAGTCAGGTTTACGGTGTGATACTAACGATGTCACGGATCCTTTTGTTTTCAGCTTGACGAGGACTGAAATGACGCAGGAGTCACGGTGAGAAAAGGGCGAGGGTTTCACCCTCGCACGAAAAGGGGGTGCCATGGCGAAGAACTTTAGTTTCGTCGTTGGTGCGAACCCATCGACTACCCCTCACCTTATTCGTCTTCTTCTCCACCTTCTCTTCCTCGGTCTCACCTGGTTCGTTCCCGCAACGCATGCCGTGGATCTTTGTAAGTATTATTCTTTACTTTGATAAAAAAATTGACAATATAAAACACACGAAAAATCATACGAAATATTTAAACAATTTTCCTAATTCTTTTCCATTATTGTTTTTTCTTTTTTTTTTTTTACAATCAAATGTTAATACCGGTTTACTTAATCGTTTTCACAATATTTGTCGTTGTTGTATGGTCCAATCGTTTCGCAGAAATCATGTTTCACCATGTCCCGGGAGAAAAAAAAAGCCGGGCCATTATTCGTTCGAACGTTGATTAAATATTGATTTTACCCTTCACCTGTGACGCGAGTTTTCGCAAATATTTACTCCGGTCGTTATAAAATAATTCGCCTCGGCGAAGATATCCTCCGTTTATTAAATAATATTCGGTTCGATAAGTGACGCTGAGCATTAATATCTTCATCTCTTTCTTTCTCTCTCTCTCTCTCTCTCTCTCTTTCTCTCTTTCTCTATCTATTTCTATCACTCTATCTCTGTCACTCTATCCCTCTGTTTATCGGTCAACCACTCTTCTCGTTGAGAACGGAAAAGAGAATCTATTAACTGACGCATGCAAATCGTCGTAGCCATATTAAGGTCAGCTTGACGATGAGAATCCTGGGATGGTCTGTGAGAATAAAACGAGCGTGAAGTATCGAGAATCGAAGAATTAGAAAGGACAAATAAGAAGAAGAAGAAGAAGAAGAAAAAAAAATAAATAAGAGAAAAATAAATAGGGGGTGGTGATGTAAGAAAGGATACAAGACAAAGTTAGACGACGATTTTAGAAAGGAAAAGAAAGGAAAGTATGAAAGAAAGAGAACCGATCAAGACGAAATCAAAAGAGAACTTGTGTACCATCGGAAGATTAAACCAATGGTTGAAAGAAAAATAAAGAAAAGAAAAATCAAAAGGGGAAAGAAAGATATTTCCCCTTGCCTTTTTTAACCGACTTCTCGAACCCTCTTTTTTTTCTTCCCCTTTGGTTCAACAACTTTCTTGAAAGTTGATCGATTAAGACGTTTCATCGTTAAAACCGTAATCGTATCGAGAAATAATTCGGATTATTTCAATTAGCATGATATATACGATTGAATTAATATTAAGATTGAAAAGATAAGAATAACGAATAGATAATTTGATTGTATAACGTTATTTACAATGATTACATTTATAAAAATAAATCGCGGAGATAAAGAAAACAGGTTTCTTCTTTTCTTTTTTTTTTTTACATTTGCGAACTCATTTACGAGAACATCGTGTTTTGATATTTTGAATTATCAGTCATGCGTGTTTTCGTTTATTTACGTTTTAAAAGTTATCTCATTCTCTATAATTTTGTTTTCATTCGTGCGATTTATGTCACCTTAGTTCAGTCTGTTTTTAACAGTTGTGTAACGATGTTGTCACGGCAATAGTTGAATATTTTCATACTACGATTTCTAAATCATCGTTATTTGGATAAAATAGTGATAAATAAGATAAAACGGGGATTAATTAAGTACGATTTCTTGAGTGATTATCATTAAATCAATGTGAGTAGATATTTAAATGAAAAATTTGTTCGATTACGGTACTTCCAATAATTAATTTTACCGTTTAGTCGGTACCTGAAGTTTTTAACGAAATTCTTCAAAGATCACATTTTATTTCATTATAAAATAAGTTAATTATTTCGATTGAATCTCAAAATGTAATTCATTGTCTACCTCTGAATAAGTATATTTTCATTTCAATCAATGCAACAATTAGATCAAAGTGCACTGATAAGTTAGACACGCTAAGGTAGGCCCTTTTATTCCTTAACACTTAGCTCACCTTCCATTTTACTAAACACTCAACGACGACCCACTCGTTTCGGGTAGTCCTACGTGAAAAGCTGGTTTCAACTATCACACGGATTCATCTCAGTTAGCCGTTTATTTAGCCCTTTTTAATTCGCCTTCCAACGCGTTGCACGGTAAATATAAATACGCATACTTTAGATTGAGTTCATGGATATATTCCTTTCGCTGTTCCTTTTCAAACCAGTATCTCGATGATCTTCGAAACGTTCGTGGCTCGTATAAATTTAACTACAAGCCGATCTCGATCAGCGCGATCCATCGGTTAAATAAATTATGATAAATATAAATATACAAATATAAATGTAACGTTTGTCCGTTTACATGTGCGTGCATGTGTGTATTTATGTGTGTGTATGTATATTTTAATTTATATCTTTAACAAAAAGTATTATATTTCAGATAAGATTATATTATTATTATTAATCGTGTCTTATCGTATAAATGCAAAGTTCTAACGCATACATTAATTCGAATAATTTTGTTTAAATATAATTTTTACTTTTCTTCTGTTTTTTCTTTTTTCTTTTTTATTTGTTTTCTTTTTTTTTTTTTTTTACAATAAATCTTTTTATACGAATAAAATTCGTAGCGTAGTATTCGATTAAATAATAGTTACGAGAATATTCGTTTGACACATTTAACGTTGGTTGTATATGTAAAAATATGCAAAACGCATACGCTTGTAAAACGTTCGAGATGATAATTCTTTTTTGATCTTTTTACGTTTTAGCACAATGCATCGCGCCACTGGGCATGGAATCCAAAGCAATACCGGATAAGGACATCACAGTCAGTTCCACCTACGATGCCGGAAATGTTGGCCCGCATCTGGCACGGTGAGCTTTCATATCTTTTATTTTTTCTTTTTTTATGTGTGTGTGTGTGTGTGTGTGTGTGTGTGTGTGTGTGTGTGTGTTATTTTTTGTTATTTTGCACAACTGAAAAATTTTGCAAACAGACACGACCCAGACACGTGTCGAATCAATTTGATCAAGATAGATGTTACTCGTACTACAATGTACACGGAGTGATTTTTAAACTCTGAACATTTACATGACGTTATCTTTCTTTACTTTTGTATAATATGAAAATCGATTTGTTTATTTTTTCTATTTTTTTTTTTTTTTTTCAAATAAACGATCGAACATTATTGTTATTAGTTATACATTTAATATTCTCAACCGTTATTTTCAGCTAAACGTACAATGCGTTCATTCATTTTTTCTTTCTTAAAAAATCACGCTGAAAAGGATTAAAGAAACGAATCAATGAAAAATAAGAGAGGTAGAGAGGAAAAAAAAAGAAAAAAAGAAATTTCGTCCGTTCATTTCTTTTTCAGTTCGACAACTCGATTCGATAACGACTACAGACGGCTTATGCGTCAAACCGAATTTTTGTCGCACTTATCGGCTCTTCGTTCTCTCAATACATAATCCAACAGAGCTAATGGATTTAGTTGGCAGACGAGACGATGTTGAAAGAATCGGAATTACAAAGAATCGTTAATGCGTCTGTGCCAATGCACACGTCGCTCGTTTTCCCGTCACGGATGTTGGATGGACCAGAAATCGTTAGCACAGGGCATCCACTATTCGCCTTAATCGAAGCATGCCGAGCAAAAGGTTCATCGTGATTACTCTCGTCTTCCTCGCGTTAATACTTTTCCAAGAAGAAAGGCTATGTGTAAAATTAGGTAAACGTCAAGAATTTCATTTCCTTATCTGAACATTCCTTTTGTTTCATATTCGTAATAATATCTAAATATTATATTCTTATATTTGAAATTACGTAAAAATCGTATGATTCGTGAGAAAAATCATTTGTAATATTTGTTCATACGTAATAAGTACTTTCTGCAACAACAACAACAACAACAACAACTTCGTTCTAATTAACGTATAGTATTATACGAAACTCGATTTCTAATTATCATAATGATAGGTAAAAAGTGACTTTACAACTTAACATTTATTTGGAACGCCTCCAATTTCCTGAGAGGGGGAGTTACAGGGTTAATTTGCAACGACTTCTCGTTCTAGCGTGAATACTAAAATCTTGCAGTAATGATTTCGTATACGGTTGTTTTTAACACGTAAAATCCGGTGTGGCAGGTTCTATAGAATTTTACATGATTATTTTCTTATTTTTATTTTGTATTTTTTATTTTTTATTTTTTATTTTTTTTTCAGACTAACATAAGACACGCGAAAAGAATTCGCGTGAATTTTATTTAATAAAATGACACGAACAAAAATCTTCTTTTATTCGCTTGAAAATAAAATACTTTTGATGTTATAATTTCATCGATAAACGTAAAAAATAATCAGTAGATGAAAATAATTATTATTTTTGCATAACTAAAAGCATTTTATGTTTACAAAGCAAATGAATAGAGTTATTAGAAAAAGAATGCGTGTTTTTTTTTTT